AAAGGTCGATTACCATTCACACCTCACCAACCAGTCTGGACTTTCCTCTAATTCAGAAAAGGGTTGAATATGAATGATGAATATGACGATGAGTGAAAAGAAGCAGATGAAGAAATGGAAGAAAATATTCACAGAGAGAGAAAATTTAAGCTTGAGAATCTGTTTCCTGTATGTCTTGAGATATTGACTCGTCTTTGACACCATTTTATTTATATATATATATTTATATGTATATGGATGAAGAACCTTTCTGTTGGCGTCTCTGTGGTTTTTAAGGTTCTCTGTTCTCCATGTAGGTCAATGTGCCGTTTGAACATCTGGCAAAGTGACTTTCTGCTGTCAGGCTGCAGGTCAGTGACAGAAGCAGCTTCACAGCATCAACCGTCTGTTGCTGAGGAACAGCCTTCCTTTTGCTTTTAGATTCTAGAAGACAAACAGGAATCCTCCTGATAGTCAGACTGACAGGAGGATTCACCGCCGTTCCCTAGCAACCCCCGCCCGTTCCCTAGCAACCAACCCCCGCCCGTTCCCTAGCAACCCCCGCCCGTTCCCTAGCAACCCAGCTCTTGTTCCACTGGCAGATTATTTATTATTTTTCATTTTAAATATATTTTCCATATTATAAGTGAAATAATCTGCCAATAAAGGTAGAGATTTTTCATTAATGATAAGTAATTAATGATTTAAAGCAAATGTTTTGATGAAAAGTTATTTGTATCGTCTTATTAACTAAAATATTTGCATTAGAAACAGATAAAAATCTGACTTTAGTTTTTGACCAACAAGTTATTAATCTGTACGACTTTTAGACCCTTTTTCAAATGTTTTCATTAAAATGTTGCATTTTCTGTTGAGCATGTAAAGAACATAATGTAAAAACTATTTTTCATTTAACTGGAGGATAAATAAACGCCATTTGTTCCTCTGCTAACGTTCATCCGTTCGGTTTTGTGACGTTTCTTTGTTTTGTCTCCATCATGTAGCAACCGAAGGGCGTCGAACCCCGACTTTCAAATCCAAATCGAACAAATGAAGGCATGAATGGTGAGGGAGGCGGCGGGCGAGTGGGCGAGCGAGGACCCAGAGCGTCTGTCCGTGTTGCTGGTGGGAAACCAGTGGGAGACGAGAAACTCCAGCTGAACCAGTTTGGGCTTCGATTCAGCGCCGGCATCAGGAGCGGGGCGCTAAACTTCGCTTCTTTTCACTTTCACATCAATTTGCACAAAAAACAGAATGAAAACATCAAAGTGCACAAAAAGGACTAAAAGTGTAATTTATACGAGTCGCTGATCAGAGACGATGAATTTGCTTTTGTCTGCAGCTTCTGCTGTTATTTATTCTGATGTAAAGGTGAAGCCAGATATTTACATACTCTATAAAACCACACAACCTTTAATTCTTAACACTCTGAGGGTCATTTCCTGTTTTACTCCAGTTCAGCCTCATCTTATTTCTATCAAATTTAAGAGGAAGACATTAAAATGTCTCATTTCAGGGACTTTAATTATTTAGTCAATTTAATCAAAAACTAGAAACAAAATCTCAGTTCAAAGTTTCCTTAGAAATGTGGATTGTGGATGCTAACATTAGCCGTAGCTAATGCTAACGTGTTTAGCATTATGATGCTATCTCAGGCTAGCATAGCTTTTAACAACAGCAGCATACAAACAGATGGCAGCAGAAATGAAGCAGAGGAGAAGCTTCACTCTTCTGTGTGCATCATATTTACCAGAAACATTTTTAGCTTCTTCCTCCCTTCCAGCCTGATACACGACATTTAAATGGAGCTATTTTCAAACAATAGCTTTAGTTTTTGATGCTGTTTTACGCCACACTGCAAAAACACAAAATCTACCAAACATCTTAATCACCTGAAACCAGACAAAAATAACTTGCAATAAATAATTCCTTTCTACGAATGAAAAGCTTCAGTTTCACTTGGCAAATATCATAAACTTAGTTTATGAATGATAAAATTTGAAAAAATTCTTTAAAAGTTGTTTAAAATGCTGATATCTATCAAACCGGGATGATTTATGTTATCCTTGCTGACCTAAAACAGGAACAGTTTGCTCTGATTTATTGTCAGAACCTTTTTACACAGAGGATTTATATCTGGTTTCAACCTGCAGCCTGTTTGGGTCTCAGTCGGAGACGATCAGAAGAAAAGAGCCAATGAGAAAATCTGCTTTTGGAACGTCTCCATCTTTGTTCGTGTTCTTGTGTCAAGCTTCTGTTTCGCCTTCAGCTTTGCTTTAAGGACTCAGAGGAAATGTCCGGACCAGGAGAGAAGTTGGCATGAAGTTAATGGAATGTGAGAAGTGTACAGCAGTCGGAGTGTAGAGACGTCTCGGCAGAATGTGACAGAAAACTTATTTTTCTTTGATAAACTTTTAGAGTCTGAGACAGAAGGAAAAACTGGCCTGTTTTCCCTTTTGCTGCTTCAGTTTTATGAGTATTGCTGTTTATTTTCAGATTCAATAAAAATATTCGCAGCTTACCCAGACTCCTGGTCTTGTTTCATGGGTAAGAACGGCCTAGTCAAAGTCCGGCTCTGAATCCTCCATCCTGAGCTCAAGCAGTTAAATGTAAATAAGTTGGAGCAACGACTGAGTGGACGGAGGTGAGTCTTCATCTTTAACTAAATGATTCCTGGAAATACATTCACATGGTTTTTCACTTACTTGACTTTAAATTTCATTTTAAAAATGTTTTATAGCTTGAATTTGTTTTGTTTTTATCTGATTTTGCTGCTACGCACTAATCAGTTCTCCTTATTCAACAATGAAGCTTGTTCATAAATATAAAACTAAACTCTTATTAGTTTTAGTCAATAAAACTCAAATAGAAGAAAAAGCTGTTTTTGAACATCCAACCATTCATCCAACCAGACATCCATCCAGACATCCAACCAGACATCCAACCATTCATCCAACCATTCATCCGACCAGACATCCAACCATTCATCCAACCATTCATCCAACCAGACATCCAACCATTCATCCAACCATTCATCCAACCATTCATCCAACCAGACATCCAACCATTCATCCAACCATTCATCCAACCAGACATCCAACCAGACATCCAACCATTCATCCAACCATTCATCCAACCAGACATCCAACCATTCATCCAACCATTCATCCAACCAGACATCCAACCATTCATCCAACCATTCATCCATCCAGACATCCAACCATTCATCCATCCAGACATCCAACCATTCATCCAACCATTCATCCAACCAGACATCCAACCATTCATCCAACCAGACATCCAACCATTCATCCATCCAGACATCCAACCAGACATCCAACCATTCATCCATCCAGACATCCAACCATTCATCCATCCAGACATCCAACCATTCATCCAACCAGACATCCAACCATTCATCCAACCAGACATCCAACCAGACATCCAACCATTCATCCAACCATTCATCCAACCAGATATCCAACCAGACATCCAACCATTCATCCAACCATTCATCCAACCAGACATCCAACCAGACATCCAACCATTCATCCAACCATTCATCCAACCAGATATCCAACCAGACATCCAACCATTCATCCAACCATTCATCCAACCATTCATCCAACCAGACATCCAACCATTCATCCAACCAGACATCCAACCATTCATCCAACCATTCATCCAACCAGACATCCAACCATTCATCCAACCAGACATCCAACCAGACATCCAACCATTCATCCAAACATTCATCCAACCAGACATCCAACCATTCATCCAACCATTCATCCAACCAGACATCCAACCAGACATCCAACCAGACATCCAACCATTCATCCAACCAGACATCCAACCATTCATCCAACCAGACATCCAACCAGACATCCAACCATTCATCCAACCATTCATCCAACCAGACATCCAACCAGACATCCAACCAGACATCCAACCATTCATCCAACCATTCATCCAACCATTCATCCAACCAGACATCCAACCATTCATCCAACCATTCATCCAACCAGACATCCAACCATTCATCCAACCAGACATCCAACCATTCATCCAACCATTCATCCAACCATTCATCCAACCATTCATCCAACCAGACATCCAACCATTCATCCAACCATTCATCCAACCAGACATCCAACCATTCATCCAACCAGACATCCGACCAGACATCCAACCAGACATCCAACCATTCATCCATCCAGACATCCAACCATTCATCCAACCATTCATCCAACCAGACATCCAACCATTCATCCAACCAGACATCCAACCATTCATCCATCCAGACATCCAACCATTCATCCATCCAGACATCCAACCATTCATCCATCCAGACATCCAACCATTCATCCAACCATTCATCCAACCAGACATCCAACCATTCATCCAACCAGACATCCAACCATTCATCCAACCAGACATCCAACCAGACATCCAACCATTCATCCAACCATTCATCCAGCCAGGTAATCCAACCGGTCATCCAACCATTCATCCAACCAGATATCCAACCAGACATCCAACCATTCATCCAACCATTCATCCAACCAGACATCCAACCAGACATCCAACCATTCATCCAACCATTCATCCAACCATTCATCCAACCATTCATCCAACCAGACATCCAACCAGACATCCAACCATTCATCCAACCATTCATCCAACCAGACATCCAACCATTCATCCAACCAGACATCCAACCATTCATCCAACCAGACATCCAACCATTCATCCAACCATTCATCCAACCATTCATCCATCCAGACATCCGACCAGACATCCAACCATTCATCCAACCATTCATCCAACCATTCATCCAACCATTCATCCAACCAGATATCCAACCATTCATCCAACCATTCATCCAACCATTCATCCAACCAGACATCCGACCAGACATCCAACCAGACATCCAACCATTCATCCATCCAGACATCCAACCATTCATCCAACCATTCATCCAACCAGACATCCAACCATTCATCCAACCAGACATCCAACCATTCATCCATCCAGACATCCAACCATTCATCCAACCATTCATCCATCCAGACATCCAACCATTCATCCATCCAGACATCCAACCATTCATCCAACCATTCATCCAACCAGACATCCAACCATTCATCCAACCAGACATCCAACCATTCATCCAACCATTCATCCAACCATTCATCCAACCAGACATCCAACCATTCATCCAACCAGACATCCAACCATTCATCCAACCATTCATCCAACCATTCATCCAACCAGACATCCAACCATTCATCCAACCAGACATCCAACCATTCATCCAACCATTCATCCAACCAGACATCCAACCATTCATCCAACCAGACATCCAACCAGACATCCAACCATTCATCCAACCATTCATCCAACCAGACATCCAACCATTCATCCAACCATTCATCCAACCAGACATCCAACCAGACATCCAACCATTCATCCATCCAGACATCCAACCATTCATCCAACCATTCATCCAACCAGACATCCAACCATTCATCCAACCAGACATCCAACCATTCATCCATCCAGACATCCAACCATTCATCCAACCATTCATCCAACCATTCATCCATCCAGACATCCAACCATTCATCCATCCATTCATCCAACCATTCATCCAACCAGACATCCAACCATTCATCCAACCAGACATCCAACCATTCATCCAACCATTCATCCAACCATTCATCCAACCATTCATCCAACCAGACATCCAACCATTCATCCAACCAGACATCCAACCATTCATCCAACCATTCATCCAACCAGACATCCAACCATTCATCCAACCAGACATCCATCCAGACATCCAACCATTCATCCATCCAGACATCCAACCATTCATCCAACCATTCATCCAACCAGATATCCAACCATTCATCCAACCATTCATCCAACCATTCATCCAACCAGACATCCAACCAGACATCCAACCATTCATCCAACCAGACATCCAACCAGACATCCAACCATTCATCCAACCATTCATCCAACCAGACATCCAACCAGACATCCAACCAGACATCCAACCATTCATCCAACCATTCATCCAACCATTCATCCAACCATTCATCCAACCATTCATCCAACCAGACATCCAACCATTCATCCAACCATTCATCCAACCAGACATCCAACCATTCATCCAACCAGACATCCGACCAGACATCCAACCAGACATCCAACCATTCATCCATCCAGACATCCAACCATTCATCCAACCATTCATCCAACCAGACATCCAACCATTCATCCAACCAGACATCCAACCATTCATCCATCCAGACATCCAACCATTCATCCAACCATTCATCCATCCAGACATCCAACCATTCATCCATCCAGACATCCAACCATTCATTCAACCATTCATCCAACCAGACATCCAACCATTCATCCAACCAGACATCCAACCATTCATCCAACCAGACATCCAACCAGACATCCAACCATTCATCCAACCATTCATCCAGCCAGACATCCAACCATTCATCCAACCATTCATCCAACCAGACATCCAACCATTCATCCAACCATTCATCCAACAGACATTCAACCAGACATCCAACCATTCATCCAACCATTCATCCAACCATTCATCCAACCATTCATCCAACCAGATATCCAACCAGATATCCAACCATTCATCCAACCATTCATCCAACCAGACATCCAACCATTCATCCAACCAGACATCCAACCATTCATCCAACCAGACATCCAACCATTCATCCAACCATTCATCCAACCATTCATCCATCCAGACATCCGACCAGACATCCAACCATTCATCCAACCATTCATCCAACCATTCATCCAACCATTCATCCACCAGACATCCAACCATTCATCCAACCATTCATCCAACCATTCATCCAACCAGACATCCAACCATTCATCCAACCAGACATCCAACCATTCATCCAACCATTCATCCAAACCATTCATCCAACCATTCATCCAACCAGACATCCAACCATTCATCCAACCAGACATCCAACCATTCATCCAACCATTCATCCAACCAGACATCCAACCATTCATCCAACCAGACATCCATCCAGACATCCAACCATTCATCCATCCAGACATCCAACCATTCATCCAACCATTCATCCAACCAGATATCCAACCATTCATCCAACCATTCATCCAACCATTCATCCAACCAGACATCCAACCAGACATCCAACCATTCATCCAACCAGACATCCAACCAGACATCCAACCATTCATCCAACCAGATATCCAACCAGACATCCAACCATTCATCCAACCATTCATCCAACCAGACATCCAACCATTCATCCAACCAGACATCCAACCATTCATCCAACCATTCATCCAACCAGACATCCAACCATTCATCCAACCATTCATCCAACCAGACATCCAACCATTCATCCAACCATTCATCCAACCATTCATCCAACCAGACATCCAACCAGACATCCAACCATTCATCCAACCATTCATCCAACCATT